GTTGAACATACAAAGGCATTAGCTAACTGTTGCAAGAATGTAAAATGCCTCACAAACACCATCTGCCTTTCTGCCTGTTATTCCTCTCCCTCTGTCTGCAGGATTAATGGAAACACAGCTCTCCACCGTGACATATATCCATCTGTCAGTGCACAGATCCAGAAAAATTTTGCTAAGAGCAAGTGGAAGGTAAGTTGCTTGGTGCTGCTATCCAAGCATATTACGATACCCAAGGACATTCAGTTCGGTGTCTAGCAATGAATAAATACCCCAAAGAAAGATTTCCCGGCTAAGACACTCCTCCTGGAACTCCCCTAAGCATTAGTATTGGCATACCAGAAGACTTAATATGGATTTGGCCCTGCCATGTTGTACAATGTCCCTCATTAATGGCAGAATTGTCATACCAGAGAAATAAAGGACTGACATTCATTTTAGGAGTTTAACTTTCCCCTGTGTTAGGCCTTTATGGCAGCTGCTCTATATACCAATTTTAGATTGGTATCCAAAATGCACTTTTCACTTCTGAGCATGTCTGCATAGGATTTCATTGCCCTTGTGCAAAATGGTTTGTAACCTTTGCCTTTTATTTATTTGTTCTATTTAACACAGTTGATAAAACATTTAGTCATTACAAACCTTTGAGCACTTTTGCAATAAACATGAGAGGCAGACCCCATATCCAGTTTTTGTTAGCTGGCGCTGATGGCAATTACTGTAGCCCAGACATATGGAGGGCACTGGGTTGGCATAGGTGCCATATTCAAATAAACATGGGATCTCCTGGTTTTCTTGTTACTTCTGCCTTTACTTGAGGGAATGGAGCGGGGAGAGCAGGAACCTGATGTCTGCTTCCAATGTCACTCCAGAAAGAATTCCAAGAGCAAAGTAGCATCTGAACAGACTTAATGTCCAGTAGTCTGGTAGGCACTCGTACAAAACTTGCTATCTTCTTCTTTGCTAGCAAGCCTTCAATGCTGCAGCTGTTGTACACCACATGAAGAAGCTCCATATGAACTGCCACCACCCAGATACCAAAACCAAAAGCAGTCTCCCGCTCATAGAAGTGCAAAATGCATCAAGACCCAATACTCCATCAGTTGCCAGCCACGAAGAACCAAATCAAGAGGCCAAGATGCTGGCGCCTGTGCTATCATGCCAGAACACTTTGGAGCTTTCTAATCAGCAAAGCAAGATGGCAGACAGCAAGTGTGTGGATCACCCGCCTACCACACCCCTCCCTGTCACTTCCAGCACAGCCACAGAAGACCACCAGAGCTCTCCAAACGGACCTTCATTTAGCTGCAACACAGCATGTGGAACACATGAGAAAGTGAAGACGGCTTTTTGCTCAGAGTCAGTGCTCCTCAAAAGAGGTGCCAAACCCCAGTAAGTGTCCATTCCACCACATGGAATTGTTGAACAGGAGGCCCTAATTGTCAGTGAGGGCGCAATCTTATGGTTCCTGGGAGGGCATGCCAGGGGTCATGGAATAGATCAGGTCTAACTTACTCAGGGGACACGGGTGGCGCTGTGGGTTAAACCACAGAGCCTAGGACTTGCCAATCAGAAGGATGCGGTTCAAATCCCCGTGACAGGGTGAGCTCCCGTTGCTCGGTTCCTGCTCCTGCCAACCTAGCAGTTCAAAAGCACGTCGCACGTCAAAGTGCAAGTAGATAAATAGGTACCACTCCAGCGGGAAGGTAAACGGCGTTTCCATGCACTGCTCTGGTTCACCAGAAGCGGCTTAGTCATGCTGGCCACGTGACCCGGAAGCTGTACGCTTCCTCGGCCTCGGCCAATAAAGCGAGATGAGCGCCGCAACCCCAGTCGGCCACGACTGGACCTAATGATCAGGGGTCCCTTTACCTTTAACTTACTCAGTTTTGGAGACCTCAAACACAGGAGAAGGAGATCTCATGTTAGATCCTCCCTTTTTCACTACTGGCTCCTCCAAACACCAGAGCTCCAATCTCAGCATGGCCACAAAGGACATGCCAGGAAGGGGCTTGGACCCAAAGGCTCCTGAACTGCTTTAGTTCTCTGATGCATCCTCTATCTGGGGAATAATTTAGTTATGCTCCTGAATGTGACTACATCTCTCCCTCCACTTCCTGCCCTCCATTGTTTCCAATGGGAGGGAAAATGTTAAGCCAAAAAAAGGGGGAGGGGGATATGGGAATGTAGAGCTTTCCTCCACTCTTATGTCTACTGTGGGCAAGCTGTTTGAGAGAGATGCTTCTTTTATTCATTTTTCAAAGGCTTAGCTCTTGCACTACAAGGCCACCCAATGCAACGCACAATGCAAATATAAAAATGAACACTATATTAAAGCCAACTGTACAAAAAGAAGTGTCACAGAAAGACCATTGCAACAGTTTCCCCCCTATTCTTTCTAATGGCCAGCTTTGCTGGTGGCAACATTTGCCTAATCCATGTGAACCTTGGAGAGACTTTTTGAGAACTTTAATAAAGTCCAAAGCCTGCACATTGTGGGTAATTCTGCCCAGTAGGTTTTAGGGGGGTGGGGTCAGGTTTTGAACATCCAGTGTGCATTCAGTATGCATTATACCTCTGTGCTAAATGTGCTCAACCATTTTTGCCTTCCTTGATACATTGTGTGAACCTTTCCATTATGCTGTAGATGGGTTGTGATTGCCAAACCAGTTCAGGACAGCTGGATACAGTAGGGGAGAGACTTGCTTTGTCCATTTGCATTTTTGCTACCAGGTCCCAATTGAGATGCTGGCATGTGCTCCCACAGAGCAGCAATTGTACCTCTAACCATTTTTGCTTTATCTTCTTTGGCATATCTTGAGATTTATTGCAAACTCACGGATTCTGATTCAAAGGAAAATATGAAAAGGCAATTTCCCTTGCCTTGAAAATTTCCTGAGGGTGTAATATCAGGCTTGAAGTGATTTGCTTTCACACACAGAACCCCACAAAAATATTCCCTTTTGTTAGGAAACCATGCTGGAAATTATTCCCTTTGCTATTCGTTGACAAAACCAGAATGCACTGATGGCTTTAAAAAGTAGAGTGCTGCGATGTGGTGTCATCAAATCATGAAAACCCATCAGATTCACAGTAACTCCTAAAAGTATGACAGCTTTAAGAAGCTTAAATTAGTTTGTTCTCAGGTTACTCTATAAGGTGGATATAAAGCCTATAATGACAGGAATGTTCACATTAAATTTATCCATATTTTATCCCAGATTAACAACACTCCCACATAGAACAAGCAGTGCATGAGATGTTCAAATGTACTTTATGGTCTTGCATGCAAACCCAGCCTTATAAGTACTTCATTTTTCAAATTAGGCTTTTTTTAATCCACTTACTTTTGAAATGTTAAGGCAAAGGTTTTTATCCAACTAAGTTTTCCTTGAAGTAGACCCACTGAAATGAGTTGACCTAAATTAGCCTTGTCTATTAATTTCACTAGGTCTACTCTGAGTATGATTAACATTGGATACAACCCAAAAATATCCAAATCTAGCAAGGGAAGTTAATTAGCAGAGGTAGACTTCTGCACCTGTGACTTATGTATATGCAGTGAAGCATATGGGTGTGTGACTTCATCTGAACTGCAGCCCTCATCAAAACTCCCTTGTACAGGCTGGATACATCTGTAATTTGGTTGTCAGTGTGTTATTACACTCTACGGGGCCTTAGTTTTGTATGAAATGTGTCTGATAGGATTCCCAAATTGTTGAAAGTTAAGCAGCAGACTATTTCCCCAACTGACTGTCAGCTTGATTCTTAACCATTTAATCTGCTGTAAGGATTTTATGCTGATGTGAGTTTCAAAATCATGCAGGGGGGAAAGCAGTAGTTTACGTCTTGCACACTTTATTGGTGAATAGATCCTTGAGCCATAAAGCTGCTGACCTATAGATGAGCTGATTCATATGTAAGTATTTTTAAACAATGCTGCCACTGTCTTCCACACATATAATTCACTCTTGTTTTGTTTTCAATGTTCTCTTCCAAATCTCAGTCATTTCAACTCAGAAGTCCTTGTTCCAGTGAAAGCCAGTAACCACTCCTATTTTGGCACTGGGCAAACTGGAGTTTGTTTGGTGATGTGATTGGAAAATCAGCCATTTGAGTCTTTCTCATACATTTACCAGGTAAGTGTGTCTAGATCCAGACGTATTGCAGGTCCTTTCTAGTGGTGAAACCTTGATGATCCAGTTCCAGTTCCATTCTCTCCTGTCCTTGCTTAATGCTTAGGTGAAAAGTGTCTTTGTTTAGCTAGAGAAGTTGGTTTAAATGTGCATGTATACCAAAGCACTGGAGAGGGGAATGTAGGTGCCCCCCCCCCAGTTGTGGCCCACTCTATTCTTTCATGCCTAATTTGATTACATTGGACAGCCTTTGGAGGGCAGGAGGATGCACTGCACTAGAAAATGCACTAGAAAGTTCTTTGGGCACATACTATAAACTTTGGTTTAATTTGCATTATAGTCCACTGGAGCCCTAGGGTGCTTGTTGTAGTATTTATTTGGTTTACAAATATACAAGTAGGGAGTAAATGAAAGGAAACAGCATGCACCTCCTCAGCAAGCCATCAGGTCCACTATCCCACATCAGATCCCCAGAAAAAAAGGCTCTGCTCCCTTGCTCTCTACCTGCTCCAAATTGCTAGCATGTGCACACACACCCTGTTGCTTCTCATTCTCCTTAGCTGGAGGGTGTAAACTTCCACTATGCTGATGTGTCTCATAAGAAATTGTCAGGTGCCAAGAGACCCTATGGTTAGAGATTTCTAGGATATTGTCAGAGCTGGCTCCAGGTCCCAGCTCACAGAGGACCAACGCTAGCCGGCAGTAATGTACAAAAGTCTTTATTGAAGTACAGTTTCCATTTTCAAGCCGCAGCGCCCAGCTCTACG